CCCCAAAACCCCAAAACCCCAAAACCCCAAAACCCCAACTTTTATATTTTGATTGAATTTTGTAAACTTTGTATAATCTTAAAAATGGAGAACTCAAGTAATTACAGGAGAAAGAGAAGATTGATTAATAAAAATATTTCTGAAGGTCAAGAGTGCCTTGACAGTGACACAAATGGCTTACAGATTATGAAGAGTGTCAGTATGGAGGATAAGTAAGTCTGGCAAGTTATTAACCAACTGTTATAGAATTTACAGCCAAACAGCTATGCAGAATAGGAAGGGTAAAGCAAGAGGAACAATGAATGCAAAGATAGTCCGTGGGTGCAGGGAAAACCAGAGATATGATGCCAGTCCATTTGATGATGATTTTGACCAACAAGTCTCTCATTTCAGGTTTTCGGTGAATGCTGGTCCCGAAGAAGGGATTGATTGACTAAGAGAGTCTAACCCTTTCTTTGATTTTAATTCAGGACCTGGCCATAAAGTTGTTGATAAATTATTCAAAAATACCCAAGATCATAGACAAAGATTCACTAATATAAACCCTGCACAGAGTGTATTTGAGAAAAGAGAATCTATCAAGCGCAGTGGTAGCATGGCTAGAATCGGCCACCAAATGACAAATGCCACTAAAATTATTGAATTGGCAAACAATGCACTAAAATGTTCTCAAGTTAAGAAAAATAAAGAATGTATTATCAACAGACCTCCAAAGATGAAGGCTTCTCTTACTCAGGAAAGCCAGTCTGCAGATACTTTTACCTTGAAAGATGAGAATATGGTGAAAATGCAGAATTTAATATATGGAGATCGAAAGAGACAGTCAAATGCGGATCAAAATATCATGGACATCTTTAACAAAAGCATGAATCGTAAAAATAGTGTGCCTGTAAAGGAGACCTCCTTCAATAACTGTTCAAAATATGCTAGAAGGGCAATGAATATTGACGAGGCTTTAGACGAAATTGAGAAACATCGGAAATCTTTTGCTCCAAATATGTCTACATCAAAAGTAAGTCCTGAAATTTTAAAACCGTTAATTTTACAACTGTAGGTTCGCAAAAATACCACTTGAGGAGGAAGATATCAAAATAGCAGGTATCAGCAAGACCAAGACTCCCTTGAGGACACCAAAACTATTGAAGAACTTGAACACAAACCTGGAGGAGCCCCTCTGGAGGATGAGGACGATACTTCACCCATACTAAGTGAAGATCTCATCCAAGACCTTGAATTTGAAGCGAATAAAGAGAAATTGGCTGAGACTACAAATGAAGAAAGAGTAAGTGTCTACAAGGTACGTGAATCAAATCGAAGAAAGCGACACAGGAAGAACCATGAAGAGAAGGAGAATGATTATTCAGGCAAGACCACCAAAACAGAGGATCCTTCTGACCTCGCTCCTGAGAATGTACAGAAAGAAAAGGAATCGAGTCTTAATAATGAGAAGATTAGGACAAGTCTGTGTAAAACAACTGGAAAATTGAAAGACCATATTTTAGACCAGAGTATCGATTCAGTGGGGGAAGCAGCGGATGTTACAATGACAATGGAGGATTATCCCCTCACCCATACTATGGAAATCCTCAGCTCCAAGGAGGTTTTCAAGCCTAAAGGGATGAAGAAAGTTGATCTGGAAGATAAGAATGAGGTAGCATACTCGAAAGATCTGATCAAAAATCAAAGATTCGGAAAACTGAATAAACACGCTGATGTGATAAGTTATGAAGATCATGAGGCCTTCCCTGACTACCCTGGGTTTTATTTTAGAGAAATCTATCGTAATACAGCTATTGAGCTTCTTGAGCAGGGAGAGAACTTAGATGTTGAACTCACAGATTACGTGAGAAACTGTGATGAAGAGTCAGTTATCCCGGAGCTAAGTGATAAAATAGTTGACGATAATAAAACCCACGCTACTCAGAGTATGCAAGGGCTATATTATGTCAACACAATTCAGCCTACAGATGCTTATATAAGTCAAAAAGTTACCTTGCCTCCCACTGATAAGAAGAAATTAGCCATATTTGATATGGATGAAACTTTAATTCACTGCGTATTCGATAGAGGAGTGGTGAGCAACACAAATGAAGGTCCTAAAAAGACAGACGCTATGCTTAAATTCAAGTGTACCTCTGAGGGAATAGAGTACCTCCCTGTGAATGTTCGACCCTTCATCAGAGAATGAATCCTTGAGATAAAGAAATATTATCAAGTGATTGTCTTCACAGCCTCTAAGAAGGAGTATGCAGATACTATTCTGAACTACATCGATCCTGATGGTGATCTTATCGAAGCAAGATGTTACAGGGATAGTTGTTATACAACTCAAGACTATGTGTATATCAAAGATCTCAGAATCTTTGAAGACCAGTGGGACATGAAGGATATTGTCTTAATTGATAATGCAGTGCATTCGTTCGGGTTCCAGATAAACAACGGCATCCCGATGCTTCCCTTCTACGACGACAAGAAGGATACAGAAATGATATATCTCGCTCATTACTTGAATGATCTTCAGAGACAAGCTGACATGCGCCCAATGATTGAGAGAACCTTTTGGATCAAGAAGCTGACGAATGACCAAATCTTGGAAGCAATCGAAGGCGTCATTGAATACGCAATTGAAGAAGTTATCGAAAATGTGGAAGATGATTTTGAATTTAGTGATGTTCAACCCAAAAGTTTTGATTTAGGTAATTTTTAAGATTTGATTCCTCTTGGATTTCTTTCTGTTATGATTTTGACTTATTTTTGTAGATGAAAATCCTTTAAGACAGAGTATTACGGATCTTGAGTTTACTGACGATATTGATGAACGGGAAGGAGAAGTTGATACCATTCCAAATATTGCAATGTGAGCAAGGACTATTCCTTGTAAACCTTCAAGTGCGAAAATCAGATTAAACAAAACAGTTTGTGATATTAAAAGTACTACTGCTGCTCAGTAAGTATACTTGCTTAAATTTCAGACCTTTTCAGAGCAAAAAGTGAAAGGTTGGGGGAAATTATTTATCCAAGACAACAAATCTGGATGGGGACAATTCAGGAGACAGAGTCTCAAAATCCAAAAAGTTTGACTATCAGGCAAATATCAATAGAGGAAAAATCTTTAACTACAAACAAACTAACCAATGATCAATAGAGGATATCGATGATGATGCTTGGATCAAGAAAAATATGGATGAGATCCAAGACACGCTCCGAAGAAAAGGGAAGCCACCCAAGATCGATTCTGTCTGTATATAATCATGCTCTAATTCCTGGTTAATTCTATTTTAGACTTTATTTGTAAAACACAGATATTCTTATTCAATAACAATTTGGTAATAAGGGGTTTTGGGGTTTTGGGGTTTTGGGGTTTTGGGG